AAAATGCCACTTTTACAAACATATTTGAAAGTTATAGAATATAATACAGTTAATATTTTAATAAACTTAACTGATCAATGCTTTTGATAATAAATAGTAACAATTTGCATTTAATTCTATAACACCATCTATTTATTTAAAAAATATTAATAAAAATTAAAAATCTTTAGATATCTTTTTTTCCTTCTCTTTTTTTAAATGTTTTTAGGAAAGTTATTTTTTCTTCTTTGAAAAACAATTTTGAATTAAATTTTTAATACGAATATATTCTTGATAATATTACAAACTACTATTATTTTAAGATATAATATATCAACTAGAAGTGGTGCAACAATAATATATAAAATCCTAATTGCTTTTATCATATCACTCTGGTCCTTATTTTTTAGTTATAAAATGTTACATTTCTTGTGTGGCATCCTTGCCATATAAATAACTCAAGATTTCAATATGCATAATTATTTCTTCCAAAGATTTTTAGTGTTTTTATTTTATCAATTTATCTAACATTATAAATTCTAATATGAGTTTACATTGTGAGTGTCATGGCTATGATTGCAAATCAACTAGAATCTATTATTTATGTGACTATGTAATTTAAGAATATTACTCCTGCTGCTGAGAGAACTTGATGGCATAATTTAGATGAGGAATATGGTCAACTGTCTAGTCGTTTATATATCATTAAAAATGGAAGATAATCTTTTAGAAATTTAATATTTCACGATAATTTTCTCGATTACTTATCTAGCTTCCATAATGTCATCTAGGTCTAACCACAACTTTATGATATGGATTAGTCGTTAATATTCTCTCTTCAAGAATTATTGATTTGGTTAGGCCTGCAAAATTTTTCCTTATTAGTCAATTCTATAAAACATTACCTAAAATGGTTACACAAAGTTATAATAGATTAATGACCTTTCGTCAATGTAGGTTGCTAAAAATTATATTGTCTTGTGTGGTTTTTAAAAACCGTTATCAATTGAGGTTAACCTTTTTTATCACTTGTAATTCTTTAAAAAAAAAATTATACACGCAATCGAAAATATTTAATATTTTAATAAATGGATAAGTTTTTTGTATTAAAAAATATTATCTTTAGAAATGTCTTGTATTATTTTACTTTCATTATTTGTATGTATAATAAATAACAAAATAAAATACATCTAAGCATTTTTAAAGAAGAAATTTAATTCTGAGTACAATGATATAAAAATATTTGAAATTAGGTTTAAAATGTTAGCCTTTTTCCTCTGAATGTTTTCGTGACAAAAAAATAAATTCCTAACAGAAAACGTAAAAAAATACATCTAAGCATTTTAAGATAGGAAATTTAATTCTGAGTTCAATGATATAAAAATATTTGTAATTACGTTTAAAATGTTAGTTTCCCACTGAATATTTCGCGACAATAAAATATTTCGAACCGAAAAATTAAAAAAAAATTTATCATTTAATTTATATTTGTCAATTACTTCGTAATCCAGTACTTACAATATTTTTATACTTAAAGATTAAAAAAATTGGAAAAGATCTTAAAATTTACATTTTTTTAATATATTATAATGTAATCTTATTAAAATGTTTTTCTCGTAAAGAAAGCAATAAATCAATCAAATTTCTTTTAATCATTTTCTTTGTTATTTTTTATTTTCAATATTATTTTATAGCCTTTCGTATCATGCAGCCTTTCGACTTACAGACCTACCCTACCCGTCTGACATAGAGGCAAGGGTGGAAGATTTATATATCTCTAGAGATATTCTTAGTCTAAGATAAATTTTAGGGTTATGATAATGAATATTATTTTGTTATTAAGAGACTATTGTGATAAAAGATACTATCATGTTTTATAATATATGCATCTTTATTTTAAAAAATTAAATTTTCTGGTGGTTTATTACAGGGCTGTGAACCTTCCATCTAAAAAAAGGGTTTAGGTTTGGGTTCTGGTTCAGTGAAATATCTCTGAAGCAGGTTGGGTTGGGGTTAAGGCGGGTTCAGATGGTTTAGAAAAATAAATACTTATAATTTAAGAAAAGTAACAGAAACATCAGCTTTTTATAAATCCATTACCATAAAAATAATTTATCATAATTAGAATATAAGAATTATCATAATATCTTCCAAAATCTAGATGTTTAAATTAAAATTTCAATTTTTTCCAAAATCTAGATGTTTAAATTAAAATTTCAATTTTTTATGCCTAACTTTAACATTCCATTGCAACTTGCATATAAAGCTATTTTACCTTGTGATTATGTTCTTTTCTTTGGTCCTACATTTGATTTAATTTAATAATCCAACAAACAAATAAATATTTCCAAAATATATATTTTTATATTAAGGTTATAAAAAATGCTGGTAAAATTTTTCTATAACATGGAGTACTCTAAAATATAAAAAAAACGATTCCACTTCACCAAAAAATGTTTTTATATTGAAAATAAAAAAATTATGTTTTAAATTTCCTGCAACTTTTATCAATATTGAGGTTAAGTTAAAGGGCCATAATTAGAAAATATTTCTTTAAAGGGCCACTGGGAGAATGGGGGCTTCATTTTTTTTTGTAAAATTGCATATATCGATCTGATTTGACAGGTAATTGCATATTTTTATCTATGAAATAATTATGGTGGGGTGAGGGGCTCTAGCAGAATTTCCTCCAATTGTTTCTTTCTCTCCATAAAAAAGAAAATATTTTTAAATTTGTTATATTCTTGTAAACAAAAAAATACATATTTAATGCATATTATTTTATGATTTTAAAATATTTCAAAAATTTCAAAGTCAAAAATTATTTTGTGTACCAAGTTTCAATTAAATTAACCAACAAAATTAATTTCTTGAAATGACTCGCTAAAAAAAATAAAAAGCTAAAATAATAATATACTAAATTATTTCAGCAAATTTTATTTATTTGTAAAATCGACTTATATTAATTTTTAAACTTATATCATTCCAAAATAAATATTTACAAATTTACGCGTTGTTTTATATTATAAATATAATAATATATTTTTTTGTAAAATATATATCGACCTGTCGCATTTTTTATATGTGTTTATTGTGTAGCCCTGAATTCATAGTTGGCGCGAATTCGCAGTAAAGATTAAAAAATTCGCGGTGAAGAATGCAAAAATAAATTTTTTTTATATTCGCCGCTAATTCGCGCTAATTGTAAATTCAGAGTAACAGACAATCTTATTAATAATAAGTAGGGCTGTGCCGAACCACATATTTTTCACCGATCCGATATTTTCCGATATTAGTTTAAAACCGATCCGATACCGATCTGATATTTATAATGATTTTTCACCCCCCCCCCCCTCTTTTAAACCAAATGTAATTAAGAAATCAATATTTTTTATGCAAAAAATCATTTCTACAATTAAGTCTATAATTAAAAAAAAATTATATTATAATATATAAAAAAAATAATTATGTAAAATAAGTATACAACGTAAAATAACAAAAAAAGGGAAATTAAAAGGATCGGTTTTTTACAGGGATCGGTTTTTTACAGGTATCGATCCGATCCGATATTTTTAGAAAGCACTAAATATAGGTGCCTATCCGATCCGATATTTAATATCGGCGCAACCCTAGTAGTAAGGGAATGATCCGGTCTTTGGTCCCGACCAGATCGATACCATGCGATACGGAATCCATGGGGATCGGAATCTTTTGATTTTAAATAATTTATTGAGGGTGATTTTTAAATTTGGAAGAATTTGATTTGACAGATATATATTTAAAGCATGTTATATGTACCCACACTGAATTTTAAACTTTCTAGCCAACTTTAGAAATATTCGTAATTTGCATTATTTTTTATGAGGAATTTTCACATAAATTTTTATTTAAAAAGTACACACAAATATTGCGAAAAATTCTTCGAAATTTATAGGGTATGCTCTACACATGTTGAAATACATTTCCGGTTAAATCGAATTTTTTTAATTTTAAAATAACTCTCAGTAATTTATGTAAAATTGAGAGGTTCTGAATTCCCTTTGATTTCATATTCCAATACGACATACATATGTGATTTATTAATAATAAAAATTGGTCTTTAATTTAATTTCGGTCATATTTTTGGTAAGAAAAATGTTCGTTCTTATTTTAGACCATTTAAAAAACATTTTTAAGTTTGGCCCATTCTGCCTCTTCCTTCCTACCCATGGATGATTTTTGGATCTGGTTACGCCATTGATTTTTATAATGAATAAGCAGATCAGAACACAAGGTAATAAATTTTAAATAAAGGAAAATATAAATAATTGGTTAATGACTAAACCAGTTAATATGACTAAATTTCATAATTTATGTAATATTAAGATTAATTTATATTTATGACATAAGTCCCAATGCCCCTCTAGTTCCTGACATGGTTAAATAATATTCAAATTTTTAATAATTATAATTTTAAAAAAAATTCTTTTATATCATTTTGGAATTTACCTTTTTAAAATTTTTTTATACTCTGTTCGGGTTTTTACCATCTTAACGAAGTTGATATTGGTATGGCGTAGTATATAATTTACTTATTTTTAAAATAAATAAACATCATTATTTTAAATTTAATTTTTGTTACTAATATATATATATAACCTTTTAACATTATAATAAACAATGCATTTTCAGCAAAAAAATAATAATAATCTAAGAAAAATAGCACGTTGATATCAAAAATATTTGGCCATTTTTCTGATTTTATCGCTTTCTTTTTATATTTTTTCTCTATAAATGATTTTATTTTCTTTACTCCGAAATGTTAAATAACAAAATTTACCTTTAATGAAACACACCATCCCCACTTTAAGTCAACTTAATTTTCCAATTAAAATTTTTTTAGTCATTTCGGAAATGACATCTTTGATACTTCTTCTTTCGTAATTGGTTTATAGTGACAAAAAAAATGATAAAAGAAAACAAAAATTTTTTTCTTTTTTTCTCCTCAAATATTTGTTTTTACTTTCGTAAATATTTGTCCATTCGCAATCAAGTTCATCATTTTTTTTATTTAAATTTTATTTTCTTTCCCTTTTAAATTTTTTTATATTTATTTTGGTATACAAAGATTTAATTAAAAAAAAATCAGAAAAAAAATAAAATATCAAAAAATTTTATGAAGGAAAATAGATTATTTTTATACGGTGTTAAATACATCAATTCCAATAAAAAGAAAAGGCATTCCTTGTGGAAGTTCATGATGAGTATGCTATTGGGTCTCATTCTTAGCCTAGTAGTTCAAATTTCAATTATGTCGCGCACTCCTTGCCAAATATTCTATAGTTTTTATAAAGCAGCGAAATCTATACCTTACCCTCCTTCGGAAAAGAGCGCGAATTTAGATATACACCGTCGCGATGATGAGCAACACAGACTAGATCAAAACTTACCTTCACTTGACGGAGTTGGGAAAGAATTCGAGGATATTTATAGTACGTCTATATAGAATTTCATGCGGTATATTATATTATATAATTTATACACACTATTATATTTTTACAATATTAATAATAATGGAATGAATATTTATTTAAATAATTTTAAATTTTTATTTTAAAAGTTTTTTGAACCAAAACTTATTGTATTTATATCGCATTCCTGTCTTCAGTTATTATTTTTTCAAAAATAAAATTCAAAATATTTTCCTTTCTTCCATTTATAAATTTAACTGGAAAGCTTATCAATCTTCATAAATCGGAATATCTATTCATTTAAATTGATTAATCATTTTCTAATAAGATGGCTCGCGAATGAATGAATTCCCGGCTAAAAATCTGATCATTGTGGGAGTAATGACCGCAAAAAAATTCTTAAACACTCGTGTTATCGCTGGCCATCGGACCTGGGCTAATACGATACCGGGCCGGGTTATATATTTTTGTAGCGATATCCAAGATAATAGTAGCTCTCGTTCAACTGCCAATATTTTTCAATCATCGCCAAATTTCAGACCTCAGAGAGTCAGAATCAACGTGGATACATCTAATCCTAATATTAATTATGCCTTTAAAGATTTTGACAAAGATGTTGATAATGATGATAACGAGCCTCTAATCATATCCTTACCAGGAGTAACTGACGATTATCCTCCGCAGAAAAAATCGTTTATGATGTTAAAATTTCTCTACGACAATTTTATCGACGAGTTTAGATGGTTTGTTCGTGCCGACGACGATGTTTTCATAAAAGGAGAAGAATTGGGAAGATTGCTAAAATCGCTCAATGAAAACGTTCCTTACTTTATAGGTAAATATTAGGAGGGGGGGGGGATATTACAATTATTCATTCATTAATTTTCGAACCACTGAACATCTGGGCGCAAAAACCCGGAATTAAACCACTCCGCAAAAAGAGAGTGGACAAAAATACTCCAATTTTGAAAAAATTTAAGTACTTATACCTCGTCCTAGCTTGACTAAATTAGCTACGTATTTTATTAAAATAATTTATTCGTATGATCCAGACATTTTGTACTCATTTTAAATATTATCAAATAACATATGATTCCGAAATTGAGTTTTATTTTTATTATGCAACTTAAACACTTTACGATTAATAAAATCAATACTATATTCATAACTAGAACGTGGACTAGGACTTTTCTTTGAGTATCTTTGTCCAGGATATTTATGACAATGATTCTAAATTTTTAAAAAACTTCAAAAATGGCTTTTTTTTAAAAAAAAACATAATATATTTTAATTCCTTGATAAATTTTTAAGATTTTTTTAAAAAAAATTGAAACCATATAAATTCATTATTAAATCTTTTTTTAAAATTATTTTCCATAAATAATGTGACTTTCAAAAAATGTCCTTGAATTGTCATCCGAATGAATCTTCGAAAGTGATTAATTATAGGTAGCATGAATAAATTTAACATGTGTTAGTATAATATGAAAGAAGGAGAGGAAGAGGTCTATCGATGCTAAATCTGTTCCTGTCTTAGGGTCCCTGTTCCGTTCCATGTTTAGGAACGACCCAGAACGCGTTCTTGAAAAATGGCATTATTTCTATTTTTATATAAATTTTGTTAATTAATCTTTTAATATGACACCTGCAAAGATGGAAAAATAATTCAGTTTGAGTACAGCTATTTTTTTTTTACCTTGAGCTACTTGGGCACCCAGGGATCAAAAAAATGCAGATATTTTAAAAATATGTGAATATTTAATAGGGCGCACAACAAGAGCATATACGTGCATCTCACCCCTATTTAAATTGATGTCACCTTTTTAATGAAATCGTCGATTCAAAATTTTAACTAAGTTATAAAAAAGAATAGGGTTTTTTTGTAAATTATATTATCGTCTGCCTTTTTATTCCATTTTAAAGGATAAGTAATTTTTTATACATTTTATATAATATTTAATTTAATATACATATTATGTGGATTATTTTATAAAAAGAATGTGCATTTCAATTTATATAATTGATGAACAACAGGGAAAAATTTTTGTGCCTCTACCTAGATTATTTTATCTAGGTAGCAAAGTTTTGTCATCTTTCTTACGAAACAGCCGAGTTCTCAAAGAACTGGTCGTAGACCTAAAATGCAAAATGAATGTATAAAATATTGAAAAATGCAAACCAGTTTTCGTTTTTCAAATGGTTTCTATCCCCAAGCGGTAATTTATTCAATTTGCACGATACCATTTAAAACGCATTCCGCGTTTGCAATGCATCGTTTGAAACATTCTTTGTGCGCACTATAAGAAATGTATAATTAAATTACCATTCATTTACTTATTTTAAAAATACATAAATTACATCTTGTTCGTGTGAACTATACTTCTTTGCTAAAACATATGTTAGGTTGGCAAGGGGACAAGAACGACTAAGTTTAATCACCATTATGACGATCGAACATTCATTATTAAATAATATTTGAAGTGATTATATATTGATTATCGATCTCTTATTACTCCATATTTCGGAAATGATCTAAAATTTAAAACGATAAACTAGATGTAATTTTTGACTTGTCCCAAAATTATACAAATTTATTTGTAAAAGAAATATAAATTTGTCAAAATTTGAACTTTTATGTTTTAACATATTAATTTTTTAGGACTTCTTTAAGATATTATTAGTCAGGTAGAAAACAAGGTTATTAAATGCCAGTCACTTTAATAAACTCAACCTTCTAAAATAAATACATTAACATAATTTAATTTTATAACAGATGGCGATAATTGATAATGAAATTGTAAACTAAAATTATTTTAAAATTAAAAAAATATTTTATAGTGAAAAATATGTAAAATACTAATTAAAAACAAAAATTTAAGCAAAGCATATTTATCATTCGATTAAAGAATATAATCCTTTATTTGTATTAGGGATAGGAAGAATTATTATATTTAATTTTATTAATGTCTTTTCATCTTCTTGGGAGATAATATGAAACCCCTTATCTAGTTTATGTTTAAAATATATTTTATGCAAAAAAAAATTTACTTGAATTTACATATAATGTTTGTGATAAATAATATATTATCAATCTACTATTTCAAGACCCAGAAAAATATACAAATTGGAATAAAGAAAAAATCAGCATAATTAGGAAAATTAAAATGTTGTCTCTATAAAAAACAACAAATGTAAGTTAAAGACATTGCTAAATATATTGGAATGTCTACAGCGTCAGTTCATAAATTTAGACGTGACACATTTCCAGAAATAAGTGGAGATTTTCGAAAGGAATACACTATTCAAAATAAAGGAAGTAAGAAAAAAATTCACCTATCATTGAAAGAGATATCATGGACTTATTAATGATAAATAATATGTTAAGGATACAAGACATTATTGAAAATTTATCACCTGGTACAAAAATAAGGGAACTATAAGAAAATATACAAAAAATATTGGCTGGTCGATAAAAAGAACCGGCAAAGAACCTGACAGAAGAAATACGCCTGGAGTTATAAATATTCGTCAAATTTACTGTTTGAAAGTTTTAAATATCCCAAAAGAAAAATTATTTTTCTTATATGAAACGGGAATCAACCTGCAAGTGGTACCAGTTTATGCCCGCCTTCTTTCTCCCCAAATCCATAGAAGTTACTGACGATTAGTTCTTTCTTTCTAAAGATCCCACCGTTGAAGGGTAAAAATATTAGTATTCTTTGCACAATTGGAATCTGAGGAGTAATTAATTATAAAATTATAGAGGAAGCTTATAATGGTATATTATTCCGGGATTCCATGCTAGAGCATATTGATATTTTGATACCTGATGCAATTATTGTAACGGATAATGCATCTACTCATAAATCCCATTTAATCGATGCATACAAAGATAAGATTGAATACCACTGCCCTATTCACCCCAGCTTAATCCCTATGAAATTTTTTTTGGCGTATTAAAATAAATTTCAGGCAATTCAACCTAATTATTGAGCTATTTTGTGGATTCATTCCATTTATGAACTTTTACTATCATATGCAACTATATCCGGAGTTGGGTTATCGCAGACATCCGATTAATTAGGTATCCCCTAATAATTAATTTATAATAATAATTTTTACTGTTTTATATTCTAAAAAGGTATCATCTTCAAGTTCGAAGACGAAGAACATAATTTTATCGAAATTATTCTAAAATAGAATATATATCATATTTTTATCGAAATAAATTGATTTAAATTTAAAGAAAATAAATCTTAAAATATAAAAATTTCATGAAAAATTTTTTCAAAAAAAAAACAAAAAATTAATAAATTTAAAGATTTTTTAAAAATGAATTTTTTTTTACGTAAAATATATTTGATAAATAAACAATTGATTTTTGTTTACTCCTTCTATTTATCATTATATTCCTTAATCGAAAAATAAAATAGGCTTTGCTTAAATCTTTTTGGTTTTTACGTGATGAAAGCGTTTTCGCCCTCTGGTTGTGGATACAACAGAGCTACGCTAGGTTTTCCTCAAAGGCCATCAAACTGGATATTTAATTGGGGGGGGGGGGGAGAAAAATGAGGAGCCTTTAACACGTTTGTGGGCAAGCATACTTGTACGCACAACAGTCCGAGAACTGTTGTTTAAACGTCCATAGGCTAATAACAAAAGAAGTTGGACAAAACAAAAGCCTATACCCGAGAACTGAAAAATAATTTAATTACTTTAAATTCGAAGTTCGTTTTTTTGAAAAAAATGGCGAACGGCATTCCTTTTATTTTTGACAAACTTTCCTTTTTTTATGACAAACGCATTCGAATTTGACGTTCGTTCAATTTTAAAAACACCTTTTATTTTTATTTAATTGAAAAATTTAATATTAATCCGAATTTTAAGAAAAAGGTCTTATATTATAATTAACTGTTTTTCCTTTTCTCATTTCATTTTTTTTTAACACACACCAATATTATAGTTTATTATTTGAATATTATTGTTTATATTTTTATTTAATAGATTAGATGGATATTATTATTTCATCATCATTATCTGATTCTGAAAATTCAAAATCATGAATAAACGTTACCATGGCCCAAATATGATAATTATTTTACAGTAACATCCTATATTGAAGAAACTAATTCAATACTAACCAAATGTAAAATGTGCCCAAAAAGTATTATATCAGTTTCAAAATCTTCAAGTTCCAATTTAAAACGACATTTGTTTGTAATATTAATTATTTTATTTAAATAATATATCTAAAATCATCAAATTTAAAAAAAAATGCATTTAAGGTTATTTGACCCCAATAATAACGATAGTTATTTTAAAATTAAAAAAATTAATGGCCTAAATTGTGGTCAACTATTGAGAGACGCATTCAATGGGATTATTAGAAAGTATTAAACCTATTATTATCAAATTAATTACATATATTTTATTTTTTTAGGATTTGAACATATATAAAGATCAATATGTTATTTCTGCAATTATACATTTAATTCAAGCTTCAATTACCATAGATAAAACTTCCACAGAAGGAACCTATAAAAAATAATATAGCGTTATTGAAAAAATGCATTGCTAGAAATGATAATGCAAGAACTGTTAATTTCGAGATATCCTTCTTTTGACGAGTAAGGAAAGGATGGATTGGAGGAGGAAAACTTATCTCATTTTTTGAAGCAAAGGACAAAACAATAAATGTTTTTAATTATTCTCTACGGTAAAAGAGCTGTTTATCAAGTATAATACCTCATTTCCCTCATTTGTCCCTGTGTAGAGCGCGTTTTTAGTATAGCTAATGCCGTATTAACTGCCAAGTGTTCCTGTCTATAAGATAAAAATTTTGAAAACAATTGTTATTAAAATTTAATAAGAAAAATTTTTTATAAATAAAAATATCTTTTTATTCGCTATATTATATTGTATTTATAATTATATTATCAAAACTATGTTATTTTTTAACATGGCTATAAAAAAATATAAGACATTTATTTATATTAATAAATTTAAAAAAAATTCATCATAAAATTTTGAACGAACGTGAACGCGTTTATTTTTTTTGAAAGTGAACGTGAACGAATTCGATTTTTGTCAATGAACGAACGCTTTCGATTTTTTTTAGAAATGTTTACAGCACTACATATTTTTCACTTGAAATATTTAAAAAAATGCAAAATAGGAAATGTATTTTGTTAAGCTACAAAATATTTTTGATGTATTTCATAATAACGAATTTTTTTTTATTTGTACCGAAAAACCCGACCCGAAACAAAAATTATTTGTTCCCCCAGACAGGCCCGATTTATTTAAATATAGAAAAATTTAATTTTTTTTCTATTGTATAAAAAATTTTCTACAAATAAAAAAATATTAGCACCTTTCTTACAAGAATTTTAAAATAAATCAATTTATTTGACAAAATATCATATTTAAAAATTTGAGCAGCAGCTACAGAGATTATTTTTTTTTATATAGAACCGGCCCCAAACCCGTTCGGGCCGGACCATAATTTGCCGATCTCTAATATGCTCTAAGTTGCATATTAAAATCGTTCACAAAACACAATGCTTTTAGTTAGTAGTTTAAAATTACATAAAATACTTAAAATACATTATGTAAAATACCTATTTGTCAGAATAATTTCTTTATTCCTATTAAATCAAATATTCATATAAAAAAATTTAAAAATTATAATTTGTCCTTTAATGATATCCATTTTTAATGTTTTGTATCCAAACCACTGTTTCATTCATTAATCTAACGGATGGAAAAGTATTTCCACTGCTGTCGAAATTTGATATTGACTAAGATGATTACCTCTACGGTTATGTAATATAGATAAGATATTTTCTGGGTTAGTTTTTTTTTATTTGAATTTTATCCAAAAAGTGGAGCACGTTATAACAAACCAAGGTAGGTTGAAAAACAAACAAGGGTGCATTTGAAACAAAATTTTATTAGGATTATATTGAATTTAGTAAAACATAAAAATACTAATCTACCACAAATTGCATTAATATAAAAGATATATGCAAAATACTCCAACTAAAGTATTTTGTTACATTTCTAAAATACTTTCAAATGGAGAAAAAGTTAGTCTAAGATGTAAGGGGATTGGTTACATCCGTGGTGTTTCTAACCGGATTCAAGTCTTAGTTGATGATATTTTTTGCTTTGCCACTTTCGTAGATTTTTTTATAATTAATTGATAACATTAAATCATTAAAATAAATTTGACATTTCTTTACCTTGTGTATCAGCCAAAAATAAATGAACCACAATGTTGTATATATACTACTAGAGATTGGAAATTCATTAAAAGTGTACATACATACTCCTATGTATGGATCTTTTTAAATGCATCTAATGACTGATCACCAATTTAATAGTATATATATACATCATTGATGCACCTCTGATACTAATATCTAATAATTGATTAAATGTCAAATATGTTAATAGGGCAAACAGGACAAGGGATGAAGGAAGAAATGGGTTTATTAAATCTCAATTACGATGAAAACTTTTGCATGGGAGGACCATCTATTATAATGAGCAGAGAGACACTATTCAAAATGGCTCCTCATATAAAATATTGTCTTAATCATCTCTACACCTTTCACGAAGACGTCGAAATCGGAAGGTGTGTCAAAACATTTGCCGGAATACCATGTTCCTGGTCATATGAAGTATGTTTATTTAATTTTGGCTCAAAACCAGGAATTTTTTTTATTGGACTAGATATATTTAAAATCTAGATTTTTATGCCTAACATTTTATAGGGTATTGAGATTTTTGCGCCTAACATTTTATAGGGTATTCATATATTTATTAAAATGCATTACTCATTTTTATATATTAAACATACTCAGCATCATTGTTATTTTCAATACTAACTCCAAACATTTTCTATGAGAACAATGAATATTATTTTAAATTTCCTGGTTATAGGAATTCATTGTTTTGGACGTATTCCTATTAATTTCTGATTTATTTAGTATTTTATGTTTTTTGTGTAATCAGATATTGTTATTTAAGTTCAATTAATTTTATAATTATATTTATAACTCTTGAAAAAAAGATGAAAGTGCCAGCATTATTTATTTATTAAATAAAAATAATTTCCGATCAAATTTTGAAGGTTATTTTTAAAAATATTTTATCCATTTTTGAGTTAAATTATTTTTTTCTTGCTCTAAATTTAGGCTGTCAAAAATAACATTAAAGTTTTAAAGAAGCTTTCAAAACTAATATAAATACAAGCGAATACAAGTCATGACACTTAATAAAATTTGATGCTCATTCCTTGCCATGTGATTAATGCCTCGTTTATATATAGTAAGCGTGTATCGCTGAGTATTTTACAGAAACAAGCAAATAGGTAAAATTTATCATCAATAACCATGTAATTCATTTCATCCCATCGCGCAGTCATTATAAATTTTATCTATGCTTGTTCTCGAAAAATACCAAGCGTGTCACATCGCATGAGCGATTATAAATAAGGCCTAACTCTTATACTTTATGCATATTAAACGATTTTATCCATTAAAATGTGAAAAAAAATATGTCTTGGCTTAAAGTGAAAATTTTTAACACGTTCATATTAAATTGGCAATCTGAGCACCTTTTTGTTATCCGTTATGAATCCATTGATATAGCCAAGTTTAAATTTAGCAGCGTTTTATTATTTTAAAGTAGGATTTGTAATTATTTTAAATATTTATTTACCTTTTTAAATTCCCTTAATATTATTTTATAAGACTCAAAAGCTGTTCCTGCATAATTCTTTCGGTACAATTTTGATGGGAAATAGCAGCGCGAAAAGTATAAACGCCTATAACCGAGCTATCACATTGCACCCTTTCAAAAATCATTTGGGATTTTATGACGCTCAAGCTCATTTTTTAAATCTAAAGCTTAGATCGTACCGACATCTTTTGTGGAAATTATTAAGAAAAAAAGCCACGTTTGCCACCACCCAAAAAAAAGTGACAGCAGCTTTAATCGAAGATTTCGATTATAACCCGGTTTACAAAACGAAAAAGGACATTCCTCAATACGCTTACATAGTTAAGGATTACATCTTACTTTCTCATTTGAGAAGTAATCCAAAAAGAAAATTAGATAACAATATCCGAGTACTAATTAACGATATTAAAAACGGAATAGTAACGCAACTCAATAGATTAGTGAATACGGAGAATATTTATTTTACTAAAGGCGAAATACATTGGGCTTATATATCTTTAGACAATCCATATGGCAATAAACTGTATCTTAGCATTATGTTTTGTTACCATAAGGATGGAGCAGATCTCAACAATTGGATAGAAGGAGAGTTTTCGATTATATATCCGTTCTTAAATCTGATATTCGAAGAAGCGAACTTTTCGAATAACGCCAAAGTGTCTCTGGACCATAAAGCTAGTAAATATTCTAACTCTCTGATCGATTTTTCGAATCTAATATGGAAACCAATGCTGAGTAAATTTGTAAATAATATTCCACTACCACTGGATATAGTACCAGCTAGAGCAATAAATAATATTCCCAAATATAGCGTGTTGCACAAAGCGGAACCGAATAGATATCGTATCAATTTTATAGTACCGTTGTGCGGAAGATTAAATAATTTCAAACGATTTTTGAATAACTTCGAAACGATTTGCTTAAAAAACAAAATCGAAACGAGTCTATTGATCGTATTATTCAAAACACCGCAAGATATAAAGCGAGAAGAATTAAATGTTGATTTGAATTCGACTAATATTAACCTTACCACCGACACTGAATCAACGATAACGTTGATCGATAAACTGAGAGAAGCGTACAGAGATTACAGTTCGTTAATGAACATTTTACAGGTAAAGGGAGAGTTTTCGAGAGGGCTAGCTTTGGAAATAGGAGCGTCGCAATATGTAAGTCAGGATTTGCTTTTTTTCATAGACGTGGACATGATTTTCGATTATGACTTCCTAAGACGAGTTAGATATTTTACAAAGTTAAACGAATCCATTTATTTCCCCATAGTATTTAGCCAATTTAATCCCGATTTCACTTATGGGAACGATTCTATCAACAAACGCAAACTCCCATCCTATTTATATGAAAACGTAGATAATTCGAGTTCAACTAACACACGTGATTTACATTCATTCAAGGTGACTGCTAAGACGGGCACTTGGAGGAGTTACGGTTATGGCATAGTCGGTATATATAAATATGATTTCACGAGGGTTGGCGGGTTTGATATGGGCATATTTGGGTGGGGCAAAGAGGATGTTGACTTGTTCGACAAATGTATAGCTAAAAAATATGACGTCATACATGCGCCAGATCCGGGATTGATTCACGTGTTTCACGATTCAATTTGTCCGCCAACCTTGAATAATGACCAATTCATAATGTGTATAAAATCAAAATCGAGCACTTTAGGAAATCATTACAATTTATATAATCATCTATTCAAATCGTAAGTCTCCTTTAAGCCCTATATGATATATAATTTTATAAATATTGATCTCAAAAGGTGGTACATAAAGTTAGAATTCAAAAAATACAAATTTTTTCAATCTACGTGAAATACTATCATCCAAAATAATAATATTTATAAATATAATTAAAGTATTTATTTGATAAGATCACACCCATTATAAATTTATTATTCATTTATTAGAAAAATTATACGGGAAGTTTTCTGAATAAAAACTATGCAATTATTGAAAATTTTTTTTTGCTATAAATTTTTATAAAATTCGTAATTTTATAATTTTTCGTAAAAAATCGAACTTTAAATTTACCAAACAAAAAATAAATATTAACATAAACGTACAAATCATTTCATTTAGAAAAATATATTTTTTAATGTAAATTTGTTTTTCTGGTTAATCCAAACTATGATTATCTTTCTTTAGATTCTGATGATGCTCATCTAAAGCTTGAATAAATTGTGCCCAGTCTGTAAAATTATTAATAATGAAGAATGATTTATAAATAATTTTTTTATCAAAGTCATGTTAGCTAATCAAACTTTATAAAAAAATTGTATATTTAATCTAAAATTAACAGATTTATAAGTTCGCACAAATTGAGCTTTTGTATTTTGCCGTACTTAATTTAAAAAAACGTAACGCATCTCTTGCTTAAATTAAGGTTGCCTTTTTATTTCACTAATTTCTAAATATTCCATTTTAAAAGATAATAATTATTTTTACTATTAGCACTTATTATAAAGTTATAATAATAGTTCATTCGCAAATTTTTCATTTACCTCCATTGGTACAAGCGTCAACGACTTTCCCTTTAAATCCGAAACCTTGTATCAAAGAGGTTAACTGACCAGATAAAAAGGCTTGGTAAAATACTCGAAATGCCTTGATTAAAAATTTATTTTTTTAAAAAAACCCGAAATTTATAAAATGCCATAAAATCGTGAGTAAAAATTTTACAAAATAAAACCCAAACTTACCCTGCATTCACTGTTAACGTGAACTCGCGGCGAAGTATATATAATATGGTGTATTTTTGTATATTTCACCGCGAATTCGCGATAATTGTGAATACAAGATTATGCAATTGAATTATAAAATTGTTTCTGCACAATTTAGTATATTGCCTGACCTGCTAAAAAAACAATAAACTTAATATAAATCTAAGAATGCTTATTTATTTTTTTTATTAAAGGACGTATCTTTTTTAAAAAAATATGTAATTGTAATGCGCAAGGGCTGGAAAAATCAACAAATCAAAAAAATAAATAAATTCTCTGATAATAAGCAATGTGAACATTTTATAAAAACATAAACAACTAACAATCATTTAGAGGGCATATATTGAGTACTTAACGTATAAAATCTAAAAAATTTTACAATTAAACTCAATTATATCTATGTTTAAACGGTAAAATTAAAGAAATAGTACTGAGATTATCATTTATTAATCACCCAATCTGTAAGTTAAGGAAAATATTTATTTTACTTTTAATCAATCATGTGGTAAATATTAAATTCAAAAAAATATGATATTATATATATCTTTTTAAAATTTTAATACTCCAATTTTTTTTGTTTATTAAATTCAAAAAATAACCTAATGTTTCATATTATACTAACTGAGGAGAAGAAAAAAAATTTAACAGCTATCGAATAAGATTAAACGGGATCGTTTAATTTAATATACTTGTTTAAATTGAGGACATAATAAATTTTCTTTGACATATTCTTGATCAGATATGTCATAATTTGAAGGTCTTTGGGGAAGGTAAGTCATAAGATCTTTAACATTACTGTGGGAGGTGCAAACATTATTAATGAGATCTAATTTAAAGAAGTCAGAACATTTATCTACAATTTCTTTTTATATTTAAAAAAAATATATTTAATATTCGTCAATAATTATAAAAAGTGTTATACAATAAGGCTGTTAAAAAAATGTTTTAAGTAGCATTTAGTTGTTCCAATTCCAAGTTAAAATTTTTATAAAAAATCGGTTCCAGTTTTAAACTATAACTTTGCATAAGACCAATTCTACACCTCCTAGTCCAATCAAAAAATTTATTGTCCGACCAATCCGACTCGATATTTCCTTAGATATCTGCAATGGACTGGCAGGTATGGTAAAAGAATTTAAATACTTACGTGTGAGAGGACGGGGTTTAAAAAATATTTTTAAAATAAATTGCAGGTGAATTAGAAATATTTGGCGAAAAAAACAATAGGCGGGCGGGGTTGGATCAAACCCAGCCCATTGCAGACTCTAGTTAGAACTATTACTTTTTATATTATAAAAATATAAAGTCCGAATGCGATTTTTAAAATTTATTAATAAAGAAAAGGAGGAAAAAGTGTATAGGTCCTCGAGGAAAATGTGATTTTTTAAATATAGAAATAATAAAAGCATTATGAAAACATCATTCAGAGTCCAACCTGAGAAAATTTTTGGCGTATAAGGGCTCTAATTCAATCAGAAAAAAATAGAGAAAATAATCATAAAGGCATAATATTTTTTTAAAAAAATGTGTAACTGTTTTGTTCAGCTTCGATGGGAGGATTAGTTGACTTATCTAAATTTGATAAGACATTTTGTAATAATGACAATTCAATTTTCTTGTGCATTTTTTTATCATTTGGTTTTTGAGCTTGTGAATATAATTTGTTAGATTTAGTATCTGTACTAGCGGAATCCTGAATATATGCCGCTGCTTTGGTACCAGATTGTTCACCTAACCTGAACAAAAAAGGGTGGCGAATAAAATTAGGGTTGTACAAATTTTTGCCGATATTCCAATGGACTAATTATAAATATGTATATTTCAGAATTGGCACAAGATTAGCAGCTAATTTTTTTATACATAAACATCTTGAAATACGGAAGCGTTAAAAATTTGTTCAAAATTGAATAGGTTTAGCCGATCCAAAACTTAGGTTCATTTTATTTGCCGCTACCAACCACTCCTTAAAATATTTTTGTTTTATAACATATTTTTAAGTTTTATTGATATTCCAAGATGTATTATGTAAAATCAAGTAATTTAAAAAAAATCGAAACGGAAATATAGTCAAAAGTTACGTGATAATAAAATATATACAAAAGTATATTTTTTTTTATTATTGAAAAAATATGATTAAATACATTCTATATTTATTTTAAAATGTTAAATTAAATCATTGAGTGGTTTTAAACGTTAACATGTAATATGATAATGTCAAATTAGCTCACAGAACTTTAAAGGGTTAAAAAAAATTTCTCAATTTGTGCCAATTTCGAATTATAACTGTTTTTTTAAAAAAAAAAATTATACATATATTTTTTTAAAAAAAGTTATACATATATTTTATTTACCTTTTATTAATTTTACTGAGGGAACTTTGAGAAGCATTAGAATTCATACCCAGAATGCTACTAAGATTACCCAAATTATTAGATAACAACTGAACTAATTGATTTCTATTCAAGCTCCCTAATAATGTCTGCAGGTCACTATCATTCATATCTTTTTTGATAAAAAAAAATAGTATATGAAAACATTCATAATTATATGATTACAAATAATTTAGTTAACAATAATACAACTAAGTACAAATAGAGTTGAATATTTTTATGAGATCTGGTCAAGAATTTTTTTTAAAAACCTAGATCCAGTCTAATGACACCAATGAAAAAATTAGATCCAATTACAAATTCTAATTTTATATTATGAAAGTAAATAGATACCTTTATATAAAAAACATCTAAATTTATTTAACAAAATATTAATATTTAATAACACATATATAAATGGGGTTTTTCAAAGTGACAGTAGTTATGTTATGGTTGAAAGGCAATTAAAAATCATTAATTCTTCAAATTTGGTCAAAAAAATTTTTTCCTTAAATTTCAAATTATTTATTTATATTTTAATAACATATTTCTCATTAAAATAATGTGGCTTTAATTTATTTAAACATTTATAGGCAATTAATTCAATTATTATTTTAATTCAATATAACGAATGGATATTAAATTTAAAAATATTATTATATTTTTTCCATGTAAAAAATAAAATTTCAAAAAAGCCAATGAATTTATTCATATCATATAATTTAGATTAATATTAGTGCAGATATTTGCAGACAAAAAGACTCTTTTAGAATCTGTCGAATTGCATTAAATTATTAAATATTTTTTATAGGCTTTCCAGTATTTATTAACTAAGTAAACTCCTACTTAAATTTATTAAAATTATGTTTTTCTTGTGGCGTATCCTTCACATATTTTCAATTCTTCTTCCATAGTCAGTTCTCGATTGGGCAACAAAATAATTTTTATCTGCAACCAGATTTACTACACCACAATGTTTGTTATAAAATTAAAATATTTTAATTTTAAATAAATTCATCCATTATCAAGCCAGAAATTGTAATGCAAACAATCCAAGAAGGTGGCTAAGCGTGCATAACGTATTTTCACTAATATACTGTAAGTTTTAAAACGAAATATACATATTTGAAAATATAGGAATTTTAATAAAGTTCCTTACCTCCTTAAGATCCATTAATTTTTATTTTCAACAAAATAAAACGAAATATTTTTATTTAAAGAATAAAAAAATTGTATACATTATATGGTGTTATTTATAAACTAAATAATATGAGTTAAAAAAAACAAGTTGTTTATCATCAAAGGGTAAAAGAAAAAAAGTTTTATAACTTTTAAAAATATTTTTGGATTAGGAAAACGTCTGCCAAATCTCCAATCCAAATCCTTAATAAAAGATTTGTCAAATTCGAATTCTTTTAAATTTGGTTTCAATTAATGTTGTTAAACTTAAACGTCTCGATTTGAGACGATTTTAAAAAACGGCCAACTCAATATTTTAGCCATAAAAATATTGTCGAAGTCAAAAAATCGGCTTAAAATGAGCTTTCTAATAAGACTAGTTTTCAGAAGTTCTACGCGAAATGTAATTTGCCAAGAATTAATAACCGAAACCAAAATCCTTGATAAAGATTTGACACTTCAATTTTCACCTATATTTAAAACCTTTAATATTTTATACATTAAATTATTGGAACACTAATTTATACCACCCATCATTTTTTTTAATATTCAAAATGTTTAAAAATAACGGAATTTAAATGAAGATGATTTAATTAAAGACTAGGCTGGTATTTGAAATTATTATTGGGTAGAAGATCCGATTAAGTTGACGAAGAGAGCGAACACCTGTATTTTCTTTGTATGATATATTTATGTCCTAAGTGTCATTGCCAGAGGAGAATAGGGATATCTGCCGTGTTGGTATACGTAGTTTCGTTTTGACTGAGATTTCTCTCTTTGTTCATAATATGTAGTATTTTATGAAGGTTATCTTAGAATTTTTTAATCTGGCTTCAATTTCGCTTCTAATATTCCCTTTATTATCAATTTAAACACCGAGATTTTTGAAGTTAGTGACTATTTTAATCTCGGTATTTCCAAATATTATATTATCAATTGACAGCTCTGGGGGTGGCATTACTACTGTTTTATTGAAGTTGATGGTTAAACTAGATTTATTCTATGGAAGCAAAAACTTGTTAGTAAGTCTAGGATCTCGTCTTCTGATTTAGTAACCAAGACTAAGTCGTCTGCGTACAAGATAATTCATAATTGATTGTTGTTGCCTGATGCCAGATCTATTAGGTTCATGGTGTTTGTAATTTCTTTTATGATTTTGTTAATGATTAAATTGAATAGAATAGGGAGAGCACATAGCCCTGTTTGGCATCCCTTTTGTTACTTGTTAGAATCTGATAGAGGCTAAGATTTTGTCTTTTAGAAGTACAATAAAGATCTTTGAAATTGTGGAGGTAAGGGTAATATCTCTGTATTCATCAAAGGTTGAAGGATGAGATTTTTTGGGAAAATTACAAATTCTTGATTTGTTCCAGTCGTCGAGAGTCTTGCTAGAAATCCATATTTTTCTCAAGGTAGCTAGTAGGTATTTTGAAATACCGTCTGACAAGGTCTTCAAGTGCCTTCCTTCTATGCTGTCGAGACCTGGGGCCTTGTGGTTTTTTAAGCTTATTTAAAGCTTTCTATCTCCGTAAAGTTTGAGGATGATGGTGAGGGGCCTATCTGTTACACATCCACTATCCACATTTACATTTTCTCCTTAAGCCATTTCCTGACAAATTCAAAGCGGTTTTGGGTAACGTTACCAGCAATCTTTTTTTTATTTACAAACAAAGGATAATAACTTGACAAATTAATTTTTTATAAATATAATATTTAAAAAAAACAATCCAGATTCCCATTATTTTAATCAGAAATAAAAAACAAACTGGTTTGATTTTAATAACGATTAAATGGCACATGAAATGGGGCTCCAGAGTTTAAAAAAAAATAAATAATATTACATAAAAAAAAAAATTAGAAAAGTTATGTTAGGAAATAAAAAATATTGCTTGTAACATTACCCAAAAACTGCTTTGGAAAAACGTTCTGGCTGGAAATGGCCTTACTCATTAAAATATGAGGTGAGTTGGTGCTATTAGGTATTCCAGCAGTCATAAATAAATAGGTTTTTTAAACAGATTTTTTCCTGGGGGGAGGGGCATTGCCCCTCCAAAAACTCTAGAATCTGGCCTAGCTATAAGCTTAAACCTGATAAAGAATTAATTTATATACTGCCTTGCACGCACAGGTTACTGCAGCCTGCCCAACAATTGTGGATGGGTTTATGCCAACCCTAAATTTCTTAATTCGATTTGATGGTATGAGATAGTCCAAACATAACACTGCCATTTTATATAGTGATAAAGGGCAATTGCGCTTACTATGACTATTTTAAAAAATAACTATTTACTTTTTATTTTTTCACAAAAATTAGTTGCAATAATAACATTACTATGAATGGTACAAAGTACAAAAGTAAAACACTTTTAAGTTGATAGGTTTTTCATAATTTTATAGAAGAACTTTGGGATCATCTATTGTCCTTCAGCAGGACTACTTGTTTAAAGAAACTTTCATTATTTTAAAAAATTATCAAGTTTTACAATTAAATTGTTGTGACATATTTGACAAAGGGGGGGGGGTTGTAGAAGTATAATTTTTATTGATATTTTAAAACAAGCAAACAAGTGAGAAGAAACATCCCCACCTTTGGTTATGCCCATTGTAAGATTATCTAATTATAAAGAACAATTTATAGTAATTTTAAAACTTTATATAATTTAGGTTAATTAATTGAGTTCTTAAAATATTTTAATAATTGTACTTCCTAAATTGATACTTGACAAATCAGAATTAAAATTGTTCATGGTGCTTTCATGATCCATATTTTCTGATTCATTATCCCCATTAACAATATCTATAATTTTTTTCCAATTCTCTTCATCCTTTTCAACTTTTGACTCCTGAATTATTTTAAAGCAAGACTAATAAATAGTAAAATACTTGCATCCAATAAAATTGTTTGTTTTGGGCAGATTTGAATTTTAGAAGATATATTCTACCATCTTTACAAGATTCAATTTTTTTTACTTCCACATCATCAGGAAACAAGATTAAATCCTAATCTCAATAAAGTTTTTGATAAAATAATTATTAAGTAAATTTTATGTTTACATCTTCAACAAGACCAGTTGTTCGATCCTTCCAACAGAAATGTACAAGGGCATCATCAGAACGATATAAATATAAAAGCCCTTTACGTTTATCGGGGAAAATGGTATCGCCTTTTAAATACATCTTACCAGCTTTCATTTCAATTAAATTTTCAATTTTTATAGAAGCCATGCCTTTCATTTATTATGACAAAAGGCCTATAAATCTAAATATTAGCTAAAATGGCTGCTTATAAAAAGGATAAAAAGATGTTTCATAAAATATATTGTAATTATATTTAATATAATCATCTAAATGTCATTTGGAAGTTAATTTATTTTATTTAAAATGAATAGCTATGATTATCTTGATTTTGTGGAAAATTTTATTTTACAAGAATGAGCATCGTTATAAGGTATAGGCAATTTTACAATTATATTTTTGTAGTTTTTAATAAAATAATGCTGTCATAATTGAAATATATAAAAATGGAGAATTTTAAATAAAATATTTTTTTTTAACTAATAAAATTTTAGTTTATTACCACTTCGAGTCAAGTCAAGAGCAATGATATAATGTCATTGGTCAAGAGACAATAATTTTACATTTTACTGCTGTAATAAATTGTATTAAATTATTTTATTTTATAAAAAAGAATGGAATATTCGAATTAAAAATTAATAAATATGATGTGATAATTTTGAAATTAAATAAACGATATATATTAAAATAGCTAATAAGTAGTCGTAGTCGTTTTATTATAATTGCGACGAATGGATGATTCCTTAAATGGAGATAATTCCTTAAATGGTGATTCAGAAAATTTTACGAATAAAAGAAAATTGGCGGATTTATCTATGATTAAATTTGATAAATTCGATGGCGAATAATCTATTTTTCGTTATTTTTCTCAATGGGAAGAGTTTTCGGTTAAAAAACGTAAGCCCATCTGAATGTCAATATAAAGATATATTTTTAACATTTTTTGGCAATAAGAAAATTGAGTTAATGGACCGTTTTTATTATCCTAATTCGATCGAAACTTTATCTTTTAGTAAAATTAAGTCAATATATTATAAATTATTTAAACCGACCTCAACAACTTTTGCTTCTAGATTTGATTTCATTAGATTACCAAGAACTACTGAAACCATAACTGAATCTGCAGATAAAATTAGAAAAATTGGCAAGCGTTGTCATTATCCTAATGATACTGATGAGCGTTTACGTGATCATTTTATGGTTGGCATGGAAATGCTGGGATTGGAAAGAGATCTTAAAGCTTTATACCCCGATGGTCTTGATAGAGATATTAATGTATTAACTTTCAAATTTATTCTTGATCTGGCATTAGCTTTTGAGCGAGGAGATAAAGAAATGGCTAATAAAATATACCTGTTGTTAATAAGATAAATGATAATAACAAAAGAAATTATAATAATTATAAACATCCAATTAAAACGACTACATTTGATTTGATAAAGTATATAATAAAGTCAAGTATAATAATATTGATAAAGAGAATAATAAATACAAATACAATAATGATAAAAATTATAATAAACTTAAATGTTATATATGTGAGTTTATTCATAACCGAGAAGTGAGATGTCCAGCTACAAATGCGGTATGTAACAAATGTAAAAAAATTTGTTATTTTGCAGTTTGTTGTAAATCAAAAAATTTAAATTATACAAGAGTGTCATCAAGTGATTCAATTCATAATATATGGAAGATTCAATAAAATCGAGAGAATCGAGCAAAACTAACTGGAGAGATAAATGGGTTAGATCTTGAATTTGATTTTGACACTGGGGCATAAGCGTTATTGTTAGGAATTGATATATGGACAAGTATTGGACGACCGAAAATTAGGCCAACCAGTTTATTGACTGCATATGGTGATAATCGGTTAGACGTTAATGGCGAGACCCAAGTCAATGTTAGGATTGAATCACAGACAAGGAACCTACCAGTGGTAACAATGAATACAATTGGGGTGCCTCTTTTCGGATTACCATGGATTATAGCATTCAATTTAGGAATGTCTCGTCAGGTTATGATTAAACAAGTACGCAATTTGGTCAACACTATTGAAAGGAAAAATGTTGCATAACACTAGATTCTAGAATTCGAGATTTGATTAATAAACATCCAGAAATTTTTGATAATAAGATGGGTCATATACATGATTTTGCGGTGCGAATACATTTAAAGCAGCTGTACCAAGATCTTTTCCAGCCCGTAGGGTAACATTTCCACTTCGCAAAGCAATTAAAATGAATTAGAATGATTAGAGGCTGCAATTATCGAAAAGATTGATTCGACTATAATTAGGGTAGAGTGGTCAACGCCAACCGTAAATGTATGCAAGAGTAATGGCGATATTCGAATTGTGCTGATTTCAAAGTTACACTCAATCCGTGTTTATTGTATGACCATCATGTTATTCCTACCTTAGACGATTTGTTAGAGAAAATCCAAGGTGGCGATAAATTTACCGTGATAGATCTGTAAGATGCGTATTTATAGATGGAAGTAGAATCGGAATCTTAGGAATTACTAACGATAGTGACTCATAAGGGGTATTTCCGGTCCCAGCAATTGCCTTTTGGATTGGCAAGTACACCTACTATATTCCAGAGATATATGGATGAGTTGCTAAAAGATTGCCAAATGACTGGTGTCTACTTAGATGATGTAATAATTTCTGGTCAACGATGAGGAGCACATAAATAATTTGCGAATCGTGTTAGACAGATTACAGACAGCAGGTTTTAAGACGAAATTGACGAAAGTGAGATTTTTACAAAAATCGGTTTCATTTTTATAGGGGTGATTATTGATAATTCGGTATACATCCTAATCCAGAATAGGTGAAGTCTATCCAAAATGCACCAAAACCTAAAAATATACAACAATTTAGATCTTTTCTAGGACTCGTGAATTATCATGAACGTTTTATTCGTAATCTGCATTGTAAAGCGGCTATTACATAGATTAACGAGCGTGAAAGTACCTTGGCGGTCAACGAAAGATGAACAAAATTCCTTCGATGAAGTTAGGAAATTATTGTCATCCGAGGAAACGTTAATTTCTTATAACGCGCATTTGCCTATTTTGGAATGCGACGCATCTGATTCAGGATTAGGGGGGTTGTTACATCAATTAGTAGACGGAAGGACAAAACCTATTTCTACGCATCACGTACTTTATTAGAATCAGAGAAACACTACGCTCCGATTGATAAAGAAGCTCGAGCACTTTTATTTGGTATTAAAAAAATTTATTCATTTATTTATGGAAGCAAATTTTTACTTCCAACTGATCATAAACCATTAGAGCGATTACTTGGGGACTAAACGTGATTTACCAAAAATTTCTAATATTCGTTTGACACAATGGGCCTGGAAGATGGCTTCTTATGATTTTACAATAGAATATAGACCTGGTAATAAAAATGTAATCGACTACGTATTATCAAGGCTTCTGATATTAGAAATGGAAGAGAATCAAGATTCTAAACAAGCTTTGGATATTCGAAGTATTAATTTGGATGATATGCAATTGTCAGAAAATATTTTAGGAAATGAGTCGAAGCAAGATGTAATATTTAAAAAAATAGCAAAGCACATTCAGCAAAGTTGGCGAAACTTTGTTCGTCATAAAGATAAAGAAATAGTTAATTTCTATAATCGACGGGAAGAGCTTTCTGTCGATCGTGATATTATAGAATGGAATGGGAGATTGGTTATTCCTAATAAATTAAGAAATGCAGTGTTAGGAATGATTCACCGGGGATATCCTGGGGAAAATATAATGAAATCTTTTATCGCATTATGTTGTTCATCAAGAAACCGTAAACCTATACAGAGGCATATTTAGGAAATCTAACTTTAAAATGTTTGAAGGAAATGTAATAAATTGTATTAAATATTATTTATTATACATTTTAAAAAAAGGAATGGAATATACAAATTTAAAAATTAATAAATATGATGTGATAATTTTGAAATTAAATGAACGATATATATATTAAAATAGCTAATAAGTAGTCGTAGTCGTAATAATATAAACGATATATATGTATTAAAATAGCTAATAAGTAGAAAAAATGAATAGGCAAAATAGAGGCAGGTCTAGTAACACAACTCAGTTTTTATGTCATATTCGCAATAATGTGTTTGAAAAAAAAATCAAAATTAAAGATTTATTTTGTCCAAAATTTTGAACAAAAAAAATGAAGATTTTTTTTATTGAATTGAATTTATTATCAAAAACGAATTTAAAATAAAGGTTATATAAAAAACAATCAACTATTATAAGAATATATAGCACTTATATATAAAAATTTTAAATATATACAAATATATTATTGTCACAACTTGTAAGAATCATATGATTCTTACCCAATGACATATAATGTCATTGTTCTTATCTCACAAGTAGTCTGAATAAAAATTAAATTACCAATTAAGAGATTGATTTATTTTATTGTTATATGGAACCATGAATAGCAATGTAATTACTTCGATGAATTCCTATCGTAATGGCATGTTTGAAATAAAAAGCTTTGTTGCGATAGCCACTTATTTGGTAATTTTCTCCCTAAAAAATAAGATATGCATATAGATCACAAAGTACTTATAAAGGATTTTTTACAAAAAAGATTTAGAAATTTAGGGCATATTTTGATCACAAACCATATTTGAGCATTCTCAAAGAATATTTTATTTGTTAGTGGAACATTTCAAAATCTTGTTCGTGCAGCAATCTAAAGGGTAAATATGTTACAAAACGGGTTTGTATCTGGAGTTTGAAATGTTATATATTCTATAAATACTGAAATGCATTTTTAGAAAAATCAGATTTTTTTAAATTTAACGTGCGAAATAATTGATTAAAATTAAGAAAAATAGCACAATTATTTGTTGGCGTGTTTTTTTATTATTAAATTAAAAACTTGCTGAAAATATATTCCAGTTTACAGTATTAGTAAAATACCGGTCTTATCTATTTCACAGAATATAGCTATGAACTTCTGTGTGTGGCCTCTAATTTTGGCCCGTTGCGTTTCGTGGCCTAAAATTTTATAAAAACATGCGCAATAACTTTACTAATTCAATTATATTTATCTATTTTATTACAATGACATAATGTCATTGATTTTATTCTACTTATTACATTATATGATA